TTTTTTTGGTTGCTTTCAAATTTTATTTAAAAATAATTATCATCACATTATTTGTCGACCATCATTTAATAAGTTTTGAAGTTTTATTTTTAAAATAAAATGTCTTTAAATTATTAAATTATTATATTTTGTGCAATGAATTGGTTACATGCTTTTCAATCTATTTAACAAGGTTCTTTGACATTTTTAAAGGAAAAAAAAATTATTTAGAAAATGATTAAAAAATAATATAAATAATAAATTCTAATAAAATTTTTGAACCTTAAAAAACAGTTGATCCTTTTTAGTTCCAGATTTTACAAAACGACTTGAACCAACAAAAGATGGAGAAACAGTTCTGCATGTGGGACATGTCTTGGCGGTATTTAGTATGAACCATTTTTTATACAACGGAAACAAAACACATGATCACATTGTATAAGTAATCCAAAGAATTTAGGAGATTTTAAGCAAATACCACATATATACCCCTCTTCATCTACCATTTTTGCATTTTGTTCTTTTTGATCTTTCAAGTCGTTTTTCCGAATACGGATAGTGCTAATAGAGCTCACTTCATTATTGACGTCATCAGGTTTGTCATGTTTATTCCAACATGAATCTCCAAACATACAACGATTTTCCAAGAAATAACGGCAAACTGATGGAGCACTCTTATTTTGATGACGGTTCGAGTTAGAATTCGACCTATGCAACGAACTTTCCCCATTTCTATGGTTGTATTGTGTATCACTCCCATCGTTAGTACTTTGAAAACTTGTATCTTCTTGTTTGTGCGAAAAATGACAACTCGTCCCTCTGTTACAATTTCCTTTAGCAAAATGCCAGCAAATCGGACGGGACGGATTCGCGTTCGATCTGTAATATGGCATGATCATTGTAAGTCTAATAATGAGAAAGAAAAAGAGAAGAGATTTAATGCTATTCAATAGGAAAGTTTAGATAGTGAGTTTATCAGTAGAAGAACAGCAAGTACAAATAAAAAAATAAAAAAAAGACTTATATTTTAATTAAGTCTCGTGACTCAATTTTGACCCGAATAAAGTAACAAAAACCTAACCTTGATTGTTTAAAACTTTGGGGTGCAAATGATGAAGCACATGACATTTTGTTTTTGTTTTCTAATGGAGAAATTTCGGACGTTTTTCAGGCTATTATTTATATGTACCCCACAAAATTGTAGATCTAACTAGCTTTTAAAAGTTTCATTCAATGCCTTAATTGGTTTATGGTGTATTTACGCCACCAAAATGGGGAATTCATGCATGTTATACATGAGTCACTGGTAAATCTTGAAAATATATGAGTCACTGATAAATCTTAAAAAAAAAAAAAATTATCATAGGATACACCAACTTGTAAAATTAACCAAACCATTTTCATTTAACGCCCGCCTGTTATTATGCATTCTTTTTGGAAATTCTACAGATGATACAATAATTTTTCGGAGTTTAATTGAAGTCACATCCGAACGATGTTTATACATTTCATTAGTCCGGAGTGTAAACAAAGTGATAAATATGTTCGGACTTAACCGGTTTTCTGTTTCCGATTTGTTATTAAAAAAATGGCAAAGTTTTTCCTTTACGAGAAGTCATTTGAATTTCTCAATTTCTACAGAAAATGACGACTTGTCTTAGAGCTATTACCTTTGAACAAATAATTTCTTTAATCAAAGTCCATTCGTAATCGCTTTTCGAAGATTTAATTGTATCAGTATTACATGATATTGAAACCTTAATAATCGCCTTATTATGATTTGGAATTTATAACTTTTAGATATTAACCTATAAAATGTTATATGAAATTCAGAGATCGTCTAAATGTCTAATTTTTTTAAAGTGAGCACTGGTAGAATAGTTAATCAATTACATCATAAATGGATGGCACCCTCCATCACGAATCCAAAAAAAAAAATAAAAATAAAATAATTAATAATCAAAAAGAAAAATGTAAGAAAGAACTTAAATGTAAGAAAAGGCGCAAGATTTTTTTTTTTTGTCGGCCCGAAAACGAAGAAATATGGAGAGAGTTATATACAGTACAGTAGAATAACTTATAAGCAAGTTAATTCGTTAATAACTTATATAGTTCATTCTTTAAAGTTTTCAATGACTTAAATGTTTATTGTTACCGAACGGAAATACTTTGTGCCTTACAAGCTAAAGTAATAATAATAAATTATTTATCTCGCTTTAACCAGATTTAGGTACAGATCGAAACACGCAATTTAAATAATTTTTTGATTTCTATGTAATATGCCAAAGTATAGTGAATTCACTCTCGTATATTATGAATTTTACTGAAAATTTAACCGGTTAAGGTTTTTTAGGCCAGTTTCAACCTCTAAAATGATATCGACCTCACAGCAAGTCAATCTGGTTAAATATTGATTTACGCTTGTCCTTCAAGAAATATCAATTTATCAATCGTTATATAACAATATAATAACCCATACTAAAAGATTTAAAAATGGCTGATTCGTACGATGAACAAAATGTTGTATACATACACAGTCAGCTCTGGATATAACGATCCTGTTTATACCGAAAATTCGTTACACTGAACCATGTTTTGCAGAACCGATTATTTTATAATTAATCAGGCCGGATATAACGAATTTATATAATAAAACGTTTATACCTCATCCGAACTAATCTTAACCGAACATATATTTGATAAACCGAACGATCACGTGATTTATACATAGCATAGAGGTGTGAATGAAAAATTTTACACTAAAAACGCGGATAATCTAATTTGCCAAACGCGATTATTCTTTCTGCCGTACAAAAGCGTGAAATTTGTGAAATAAAAAGAAAAACAATCATTTCTAATGCTAGTCTTGCACAGCAATACCGACTTTTAATATAAAAATTGATAAATTTCATTGTTACGAAGTGATCACGTGTTTGTATTTTTATTGGTCAATTTTATATGCAGTATAAAACATCATATAGCGAACTTAATTTATACCGAACCAAATTTTCTAGAACGGCAGGTTCGTTATATCCAGAGTCGACTGTTATATGAAAAATTTAGTTAAAATAATGAATGATTCCCAATTAAAAATGAATTATAATTTTATGTTGCGATAATTGTAATAATATACAATTATAAACTTCTAAGTCTTAATCCAATAAAAATTTTTTGAGTTGCTTCCATTGAATCACATCTCTTCTGGGAATCCTATTTAATTGTATTTGAAAATATAAATAATTAAATACTTGAGTGATTAATACTTTTATAGAAACTAAGTAAATGGTTGGTGAATCATTCATATATGTCATTATTATAGCTTATAATTTATGTTTTATGCTTATGCATTATGTTAGCAATCAACTTCTCTAATGAATAAAAAGTAGGCGGATTTTCAGTATCGGGACGAAGCGCCGAATTTAGTACGTATTTTAAAAAAAACCACCTTCTGCGCTTTTATTTATTTGGTGGAGTCGGGGCGTAGTGTCGAATCGGATAAGTATTTGATTTTTTTTCTTATATATTCTTTTTTTCTTTTCTTTCTTTTTTTTTTTTTTTAGGAAATTTCTTTCGGGATTTAATTGATTACTTTGATCACAGTTAAAAAATGCGTTTTTACTATTTTTAGTTATTTTTTTTTTAATTTCATTATATGTGTACCATTTACTTAGGAAGATTCGGCAATTTTTTTATTTTTATTTTTTAAATTCATTTTTATCTTTTTTTACTTTCACGTTCGATCCAGGTCGCTGCTATTATTTCATTTTTTTTTTTTTATTATTATTTTCATTAATTTCATCTTTCAACACTATGGGCCACTGCAATATAAAATTTTTTTCCTTTGGATTGATTCGTAGGGATTTTTCGATATTTCGGGTTTTTTATTTTTTATGTATGATGGTTTATTTATTTTTTTATGCTTAATTAAAAAAAAAGATAGGTCTTTTCAGTGTTATCAAATTCATTTTTTTTTTTTTACTATAGCTCTTTCGGGATTTATCGCTTCGGTTTGAGCCTTTAGATTGATTTATAGGTAGGCCTTTTCTCTATATTTTATTAACTGTTGATAATTTAATCCATTAGCGTGATGAAGTCACCGCAACTCTAACTATTCTGGTTAATATTTAAATAGTTTTTGAAATTTTTTATAGGAATTTATTTATTTTTAATTTAATTTATTTGTTATAGACGTTTGGATCGCCTCGGGATGCATAAATTTGCGCACTTTAGGTTCCTTTTTCAGGTTGTTTCACTTACAAAAGTTCTGGACAGCGTGTTATGGTGGAATTATGACTCAGGCCTCCTTACAAAGAAATGATTTTTCTAATTAATGATGGATTAGTAATAAAAAAAAATTGTTGAATAAAAAAAATATATATTACTGCTGCGTCTTTTATAGCGTATACGAAAGGTTTTCTTAAAAGTGCAAAACTTTCCTCGGCAAAATTTCAACGTCAATTAAAAAATTATTTTCTTTTATGAAAGGAATATGACTGATAATGGCTTACTCGTTGTCAATTTAAACTTCATTAAAATGAAAGAAATTTCATTGTAAATGCATTCAAGAGAATATTAATATTTTTTTATTATAAATCATCATTAAAATCATACTTAATAAACTTTTTTTAAATTTAATAACTTAGTTAGAATTCTCATTACTTACGATCAATAATTAAAAATAAAGTTGAGCCTAATTGTCAAATATATTGATTCGCGTCCTGTCGGCACGTATTTAATTTCTCATTTACGTGTAAGAAAAGTAATAGTTAGTTCACTTGGAAATTGACAAAAGTTGTCAAATTTTTTTTTTTCTGATTTCATGATATAACATTATTTTTAAGATCTATGGTTAATAATGTTGCGTTTGACCAAGATTTGAGTAAACTATTTTTTTTTAATTTCTATTTATTAATTTATTATTTTCTTTAGGACGAATTAAGACCCGTCATAATCAAGGTGAACTTTTTTTTTTATTAATAAACTAAAAAATAATCAATACCGGGATACGAATTTTGACTAACTATATTAATTCAGGTTGTTAAAAAAAAAATTTATAACATTCGCTAGTGCATAATAAAACAACTTATAATATCTCTTTATTCATTCTAGAAACCTCCATTTCTTCGATAGTAAAAACTCATAATAAGTTTGGTTGGGTATTACACACGCCTGTATAGTATGTTTCGGATCCTATGCAGATTTGCAACTGTCAACCGATCAATAAATCATTTAACAAAAGTTTACGAAGAATGAAATATCTGGATAAATCTGGACAACTGTTGCGGGAAGCCTTCGTCATGCAAAATTAAGTGACATTTGTTTGTGGGTAAAGCGTTTATGGAAAGTAATCCCCGGACGAGGTTATTTTCAAGTCTTTTATAACGTATAATATCACATTCTTTACACAGATCGATGGGAATAGCAAGCTAATTATAATGATGAAGAAAGCGTTGATGGTAATGATGACGAAAATGGTGATGGCATTAGTGCGCTGTCAACATAGTTTAACAAAACTATATATAGTCCTATAGTATTAGAGATTTTTTGACGATCATTTTAACTTCGGGCTTTGTGAGCCATTTTTCTATTAAATTTTTAATAAAATAACCGAAATCTTTAAAATTTAATAACATTAAATAACGCAGTAAAGTTGAATGGGTACATGATAACTTAAAGAAACATAAAATTCCTCGTATTTTTTCAAAACTCACGTAAAAAAAAGTTTTATTGTTTAATTTATTAATTTCGGAATATTAATGAATTTTTTTTAAAACAAAGCAATCTATTTTGTGAAAGAGACAGATATTTGAAGTATTTTCGAAAAAAATCTGAAACGAAAATGATAAGAAGGATCCATTGTTATTAAAGAAAGAAAAAGTAAATTTATTATAAA